TTACAGTCAACTTTTTTTTTTTTTTTTTTTGGTGCTGGGGATTGAACCCAGGGCCTTGTGCTTGCGAGGCAGTCACTCTACCAACTGAGCTACACCCCCAGCCCCCCAATTTTTTTTATATAAGTAGAAGGCATATACTCTAAAATAATGATTAAAAATATAGCATGGCATTGAGCTGCCGTGGCCAGAGCTATTTAAATGTCCATTTTGTCTCCATGACTGATAGACTTTGCTTCATCATGGACTATTTGTCATCAGAGGGATTCGGGTGGAGGGTCAGTAAGTTACTGATGAGTCTCTGGAAAGTATAAGGAGAATCCCGAGTTTGGCCCTTGAGTCTCAGGATGCAAGAATCAAGACCATCACAATGTGGCTGAGCAAGGAACCATTAAACCACAGAGAAGACATGGACCAGATGATATAGACACGGGAGGCACCAAGAACTTTAATAGAACTTAACAGTCGCTGTGACCTTTGCATTGATCCTGTCATGGAACACAGAGCTGGGAGTTCAGCAAGGCTGGTAGGCACACGGGGAGATGGCGGAGACCTCAACTCACCCAGCAATGTAGTAGCAAAGCAGCCAGCCAGGGAACAAGTGGTCAGGGTCACAGCCATGGGAGCAGCCAGCAGTGGAGACATCAAACCTGTAACTCATGGTGCCAGAGAAGGTGACACGGGAGAGCCTCTGACTCCGGTGGGTCCACCATGCGGCCTGCGCATTGGTTTCATTAATGAGGTTCTTGGCATAAAAGTTAGCTAGAAGAGATCGAAATAAAACACACAGACTCAGTTACCTTATTTCTATTGCCAGGTCCGAGACGGCTCCCCTCTCTGGTTCCCTCCTCTAACCGCCCAGCAGGGCAGCAAGGATTACCCAGGGCTAGCAGGAGAGAGAGAGAGCACGCCAGGGAGTAGCCTTTTATTGGGGAACAAGAAATTCAGGGGATAATTCCATCAATGAAGGTTGAGGGGGGGCCGCACTCCAAGGTCAGGGTCAGTGATTGGGCCCCCCGGGGTCAGTGGTCAGTCACACCCTCACACGGACGGGTTCTCTCATCAGGAGAGGGCCAGGAAAATTCCGACACAGCCAGAAGCCTCAGACCCAAACCGGGAGTCACCCAGTCACGCGTGAGAATGGCTCCCCACAGGTGGGCAGTGTTCTGGGAAACCTAACAACCTGGCCCTGGAAATGGACAATGAAACGGAAGCTCAGTGTGGACAATAGCTGGACACAGAAGAGGCCGACATCAATGAGATGGATTCGACATCAGCAGAGCCTGAGCCGAAAGGCTGCAGCCTCTGCCACTCTTCCTCTCTTTTCTGGCTCCTCCATCCAGCCATTCCCTTGGCCAAGCTTGACATTCGGCCCCTCGCTCTTCTACTGAGGAGATGATGGGGAGAACTGCTAGAGGGGCACCAGCCTCCCTACTCTCAAAAAAAAATTTTTTGAGGGTCCACTCAGTATTCTGAGGTGAGTTTTGTAGTTTGGTTTTGTGTTGGGGGAAGACAAAGGGCCAGGGAAGAGATCCAAGGTTGTGACCTCAGTAAACACCTGCAGGCCACAAAGCAAGAAGTGGCAGGGCCATCATAACGATTTTCTTGGGTTTAGTTTTCAATTTAAGTTGCAGGTTTTGCCAGTTAGATACAAATCTGGTTTTTGAACTTTTATACACAATATATTTTTTATCATATATCACAATTTTTCAACCTTTCTTTGGTACTGGAAGTGGAACCCAGGAGTACTTTACCACTCAGCCACATCCATAGCCCTTTTTATTTTTTATTTTGAGACAGGGTCTTGCTAAGTTTCTTAGTCCCTTGCTAAGTTGCTGAGGCTGACCTTACATTTGCAATCCTCCTGCCTCAACCTCCTAAATTACTGGGACTACAGGTGTGAGCCACAGTGCCCAGCAGCCTTGTGTATTGAACTATGTCCAGAATCAAGTTTATGCAGATCTAAACTGTTGTGAAAATCAAATCAGTATTAGTCACCTTTGAAGTTTATCTGCAAACTTCCAAGTTGTCAAAGCGGCTCAGTTTGATCAATAACCACTGCTTGATCCTTACAATTAAATTTTGTAACTAAAAAAAGATACAGTCTAGTAAATATATAAACCAGTAAAATAATTTTTTTTTAATCATCAAGTATTATGCACGGAATAAAGTTGTATGTGATGTACTTGAATACGACTGGCGGTGCAGTAGGTTTGCTTACACCAGCCTCTCCACAGGTGATTGAGTGGTGCATTGTACTTTGACGACACTGTGCAATAGTTTTTCAGCTCCACTGTAAATTTATGGGATACCTGTCTATGAATGACACCTCGTTATGCAGGGCTTGACTGCACTGGAGACTCTGATGGCTGGTTTCAGAGGAGGCGGGGAGCATGTCCAAAGCGGCTCCTTAAACTCATTCATTCCATAGGTGGATTGAGGTTCTTTGCTGGATCCAGAGGCAGCTTGGGGGCAAAAATCCCTGAGAAGGTGGGGGGGGGGCGATGCCTCCCCTAAGATCCAGGAAACTCCAGCCCCTGTGATAGGACCCCTGCACAGCTGGCTCTGTGGCAGCTCTCAAGCAGCCCGGGCTCTTTCCCAGGCCTGAAGCCCTGGTCTCCTCTGACGGAATCTGAGATACCCCCGAGGACACCTTGCCAAGCTGCTGAACAGGCAGCAGTGCCTATGAGAATCCTTCATTCAGGGCAGTCCTGGGGGAGCATTGCAAGCCCAGGAGGTATCACAGCCCCTCTCCTGGGAGGCATAAGTCCCTTTACCTAATCTCAGCAGGGAGGCCACAGCTTCAGGCTGTGCAGGGCTCAGTCTGAGTTCAAAAGGCTTGGAGGGCTGAGGAGAGGCCCCACTGACTTTAACCTGAGAAGATGCCATTTACAAACACATGACATGTCTGCTGGCTGGGCAGTCCTGAGACGGCTCCTACCCTCTTGTTCGTGAGATCATGATGTCTTTTTCTCAAGGTTATTGCCACCTGGAATGAGATCATGAGAGCAAAAACACTCAAAATTTACAAAGTCTCTACCAATGTGGAAGATTACGATTCTGCATTCGGAAAGCAGAAATAATAGTACTGCGGTTGATATTATGGGTGCCCAATCGGCCCTCTTTTCAGGGCCATGCACTCCCTAGCTGTTATGAAGGTCGGCTGCTAACAGTTCAGTCGCTCCCTCTTCAGAGTAAATGGACACTGCCTTATTTGGGGGTCTCACCTGATGATTGCCTGACATGGCTTGAAAGGCCACTTCCGTCCCTCAGTAGGGCAACTCCAGTGCAGCACCGGCTCCAGCGCTTCCCATGAGGTGGGGCTGGTGCTTGGCTGCAGCTGAGAACTCAGCCTGGCTCCTCCCCCCACTCTGTCCTTCTCCTTTGTCTTGATTCTGAGGATTCTTCTTCAATGGAGGACAGACATTGAGATCTGCCTTGGGCTCTACTTTTAGGAAACCTGACCCAAGTATATCCTTTACAAAGTTTATATATATATATATATATATATATATATATATATATATATATATATCTCCTCACCCACACACATGTAAGCATGTGATCCACCAATAAGCTACACTACCAGAATAAATTATATAATATAAAGAAATTAGTCCAGTGCCTGGCATGTAGTGATTACCCAATAAATGTTAAGAGATTGTGATTGGGGGGGAGGGGACAGGGCACAAGGCCCTGAGTCCCAGCCCCAGCACCACCACCACCACAAGAGTAAGAAGTCAAAATACGGTGGGTTGGTCAGTTGATTGATTTTTATATGCTAAGGGAAAATGGTAAGCAGAGAACAGCAGCTGTGTTTTCTTGAATATCTTTGCTTCTATTTTGGCCCTTACACAGCTAATTAAGTTTCAGTCATGATATACATTTCCCTCACCAGCAGAGGGAGCCATATACATGCAAATAAGTGCTGTTTTCTCCCTCCCCTCAAGCAGCCTGGGTTGGCAGGAAAGATCAGGTACATGACAGAGCAGAGGTGGGAAGTTCCTGGAGATTGACACAGATAGTAGGAGTGAGCAGAACAGGGAGGAACACTGAGTCAAGCTGGTCGGAGGCTCTTGGGGGCAGGGACAGGGAGGCTTCTGCCACTCAGGCTCCAGGAATAGTGAGAGGAGATAACTTTCCCAGGGAAGCCACCACTACGGCTAGGTGGTCAGGGCCTGGCCTGGGCAGGGTGGTGGCAGCAAGGTGGTTAAGAGAGGATATTGATAATGGAATGGAATAAGATGGCGCCAGAGATTGTACTGTGTTCTTGGCTCTTGTGTTCTTGCATGAGAGGATTTCAAGCAAGACATGAGACTAAGTAAGAGTATAGCGAAGTTTATTAGAAAAGAAAGAAGAGGGGGAGCACCCTCAAGGGGGAGAGTGGGTCCTCCCAGAGAAGAGAGTGACAACTCACTTCTTTGTGAGTTCCGTTTTATTGGGGTAGGAGGGGAGGTTTCAGGAGAATCCCACCCAAGCAGTACCTCTGAGCTGTTGATTGACAGTTGGACTGCACATGTTTTTACCTAAAGGCAACTCTCCGTCCCTTTGGTTTCTATAAAGGTCACAAGGCTCTCTTTCATTAGGGTCCAGTAGGGATTCTGCTGTTTTTTTCATGGGTGGGTTTTTGGACCTGCACTTCTTAATCCCAAGAAGGAAGAACAACCCTGAAAATAGCAAGCTTGTGAGTCCAGGATCGTAACATACTGTTATCTCTTTTTTAAAAAAAAATTTTTTTTAGTTGTCAATTGACCTTTATTTGTTTATATGTGGTGCTGAGAATCAAATCCAGTACCTTACACATGCTAGACAAGCGCTCTTCAACTGAGCTACAACCCCAGCCCTACTATTGTTATCTCTTAAACCACAGCCAGGTCAGAATGGCCTGCTGTGGCTGCTGAGACAGGCTGAGGGTTAGCACAGTCTATGGCTCAGTCTATAGAATTACCCTTTAAACTCTATGTTCGCCCACTGCCCACTTCTGTTTATCTGCTGTCTAACAGGTATGGACACCAAGTCTAGCCAAGCAGTCCAGAAGAATAGTGGACCCACTGATATGGAGGAGAAGTTGAGGTAGGTTTTATAGAACACCAAGGACATTTCTCTAACTGGTTTGACCGCCCTGTTGGTCTGCAGTGATATCGTCTTACATGGTACCCTTCCAGCAAGCTGCAACTCTGCAGGATTCCTGTTCTGCATGGATTCCAGAAACCAGCGCAGTACTCAGAGGTGTTTTGTTTTGTTGTGTTTTTTGGGTACCAGGGATTGAACTCAGGGGCACTCAATCACAGAGCCACATCCCCACCCTATTTTGTATTTTAAAAATAGAGTCAGGGTCTCACTGAGTTGCTTAGTGCCTCGATAAATTGCTGAGGCTGATTTTGGACTCACAATCCCCCTGCCTCAGCCTCCTGAGCCGCTGGGATTCCAGGCATGCGCCACCGCACCCAGCTTCAGAGGTGTTAATAGCATAAGGATTCCATTGGGAGTAGAGGCCAAGAAGTGTCCCATAGCTCACAGGGATTGTGTTCCAGCGTTGGAATTAAACCTCTAGGGTGAATAAATGAGAACATTAAAGAATCTCCTAGGGGTGATAGGGAGTAAAAATAAAGAAGGAATGAACTTGAAAGTGGGTGGCCTCCCTAACCCTGAGATTTCGTCCTTTTTGGAGGTGTGGTTGCAGCCTCCAGATGGCAGAGAAGGTCTCTGGGTTGTTCCTGGACAGAACTAGAACACAGATAAGAGCCAAGACTGGGCAGAGAACCACAGGTTGAGGCTGGTGGGCTGCAGGCCTCCTCCTGGGCCACCTACAACATCCCCCAGGAGGCTGCTTTTGGAGGATGCTGCTGGACCTACAGGCTCAGGAAAGGGAGCTCCTCAGGGGGCTGGGCTTTCCTGGAAACCAACTGGGTCACCCTTGTCCTTTACCAGGAACCCACCCAAGAGAGTAGCACTGAACTCCCCACAGGCTAAGAGGTGGGATGCCCTCAGAAAGAGCTGTGAAGACACCTGTGAGTGTGACCTTGGAAACTGCTGAGAGGAGCTCCGCTGGCTTCAGAGACCCTGGAGCAAGTAGCAAGCAAAGCACAGATGGAACCGGAAGCCTCTTCTTTCCCCATCTTCTGCTGCCCTCTACAGACAGTTTCATGTTGTGCCAGATGGCAAGGGGAGCATAGGCCCAGCACCCATCAAGGGTGGACTGGGCACTGCCACGCAACAGATGATTAACTGTGCAGGATGCTGGTGGACGGCACTGGTGGAGAGAGCTCTTTCATAAACACTTTTTGAAAATGTTTGCTTGAAGGACTAGTCCTGCCCGTTGAGAAATTATTCAAAACAAAGAACTCAACGGAAAAAAAAATTAAGTGTAAAAGAAAAAGCAAAGAACAATTAAATCAATAAATAATGCAAACTAAATGATTGTGATTAATACGGTATAAATATCAATAAAAGTGATGAAAAAGTATTCTTCAAATTATGCATAATAACTCATGATTATAAACTGGGTTTAAATTTTTAGTGCATTATAATTACACATAATAGGGGACTTTATTTTTACGTTTTTGTACATGCACACACATAATTTGGTCAGTTGCGTGCCCAGTACCTCCCCTTTCCTTCCCTCCCCCTCCCCTGGTACCCTTCTTCTACTCCACCAATCTCCCTTCAGTTTTCATGAAATCCATCTCTCCATTTTTTCCCCTTTTTCTCTAGCTTACATATATGAGAGAAAACATATGCCCCTTGACTTTCTGAGTTTGGCTTGTTTCACTTAACTTTGTTAACTTTAGGCTTTTTTGTTGTTGGAGGGTTGTTGAGAGCCACAGCCGAAGGGGCCCCAGCAAACTTCCAGCTGCCAGCAAACTTCCAGCTGCCGGCTGATGATTGGCTCACAGCGGCCCCAGCAACATCTAGCTGATTGGCTCCTCTGCGGTGATGCTCATTGGGCTGTTTCCCTGCCCTTTCAGACCACGGAGCTGCTCATTGGAGGACTTTTTTGGCTCCGCCCACGTGACCCAGCCAATCGGCCTCAAGAGCAGGAGGATTGTGGGAGGTGGAGAGAAGCTTGGGGGAGAGAGAGAGGCTTGTGGAAAGCCGGTGGTGGGAGAGAGAGGCTTGTGGAAAGCCGGTGGTGGCAGTTGAGGCTCTGAGGGTTTTTCCTGAGAGGCTGTTTTGTTTGGCGTGTGTGGTTCTAAAAATAAAGTTAGTTTCTTTTGACAAGTGGCTCCTGATTGTGCCCAGCCAGACTGCGGCATTTGGTGGCTCGCACGGGGAGCAACTGAGGGTAAGTGAAACTGCTCGCCCCTGAGGGCAGGGCGAGAGGATGGGTAGCCATTTTAAGATTCCTCTTTTATTTTGCTTCACTTTTGTTTTAAGTTGCCTGTCCCTGGAGATGAGTGAGACGGAAGAAAAACCGCTCACATCTGAGGAAAAACTATTTACGTCTGAGGAACAGATAGGGAGAAAGGACGGATGCACATGTCAGGAGGATAGAAAGGCTATAATGACTTTTTGTTGTTCCCTTTTTATTTCATTCTGTCTCGGTTTTGTTTGGCGTCATCTTGTTGGGTTGTATTATAGTAGAAATACGGGATCAGAAATTAGTAAAAAACAAACTGAAAGAGTGTTAAGTAAATTGTTAGAGGAAGGAGGCATCTCAGTAAAATCAAGAACAATCAGGGCATACGTTGATACAATACAAAAATGTAGCCCATGGCTTTTTAAGGAGGAGTTGTTAAATATATCACAATGGAACCATCATGGTGAAGATTTAAAAAGAATAGAAAAGAAAAGCCCAGGGACTCTGCCAGTTGGCACATTGCCATTGTGGAAGTTCATATCTTGTTTGCTTAGTCCAAAGCCTTCAGTTCAGACAATGGTAGAGGAAGGAGAAGACATATTGATTCAAGTAAAAGAGAAGGTCTCTCAAGTTAGTCAGACAGAGGAAAAGATTCAAGTAAAAGAGAAGGCCTCTCAAGCTAGTCAGACAGAGAAAGAAAGTGTAAAACAGAAAAAGCCATCGGGGGGAAAGTTACAACAGGAGACTGCTACTAACACCTTTCTATCACCAGAGGACATAAGTGTCCAACTAACAAGGCCACCTCCATATGCTGGGAGGTCCCCAACCCCCGCAGTTGATAGTTGGGATCCTGAGACAAGATCTCAAATATTAACATGCCCTGTATTTGAGGCAGGAGGGCAGTGATTTTACCAAGTTTTAAATTTCAAAACAGTGAAGCAGCTAAAAGAGGCTGTAACAACCTATGGTCCTCAAGCACCCTTCACTGTAAGCATGGTCGAATCCATTAACAACTTGAACATGACGCCAGCAGATTGGGCTAATATGTGTAAAGCTGTGCTAAATGGAGGACAATACCTGTTATGGAAGGTTGCCAATGAGGAATTTTGCAAGGAGACGGCTAGGCGAAATGCAGCAGCTGGTTATCCTCAGAGAAATCTAGATATGTTGTTAGGAAAGGGACCTTATGAGGATCAGCAGCAACAAATTGCATATGATCCTGGTGTATATGCACAAATTGCTGCAGATGCAATTAAGGCATGGAAGACTTTACAAGGACATGGAGGTTTACAAGGTCAATTATCTAAGGTAATACAAGGAGCTAATGAACCTTATGCTGAATTTGTAGATAGGCTTATTCAAACAGCTACCAGAGTTTTTGGGAATACAGAACAAGCAATGCCATTACTAAAACACCTGGCTTATGAGCAAGCGAATCATTGGTGCAGAGATATCATTAGACCATGGAAACATGAAGATTTAAACACATATATTAAATTATGTAGAGACATTAATGAACAAGAGCAAGTCGTGGCAGCTGCAGTAAAACAGGCTTTAGATGCCAGAGACATAAATGAACAAGGGCAAATTGTGGCAGCTGCAGTAAAACAGGCTTTAGATGCCAGGCCAAGAACATGTTACAATTGTGAACAAACAAGACATTTTAAAAGGAATTGCCCCATTGGAGGAGGGTTTAACAAAACTAGGTATCAAAGGAGTAGAATACCAGGTATTTGCCCACGATGCCGTAGAGGGAGACATTGGGCTAATGAATGCCGTTCTCAAACCACCATAGAGGGTACTCCATTATCAAAAAATGAACAAGGACCAGATGTTTATCCACGATATCGTGGAGAAAGGCATCGGGCTCCATTGCCAAAAAATGGACAGGGGGGCCCAATGCTCCGGGGCCCAAAACCACAAATATACGGAGCACTGGAGGAACCCAGCAACCCCATCAGGGTAGTGCCCAGGACACATTGTCCATCAGATCCCTCATCAGACAAACCAGAGGGAGCGCAGGGTTGGACATCTGCGCCTCCGCCAGAGCAGTATTAACTCCAGAGATGGGAGTTCAAATCATTCCCACAGGGGTGAAAGGACCTCTTCCCAAAGGAACAGTAGGCTTATTATTGGGACGCAGCTCTTCTACTCTAAAAGGACTTATGATAAGTCCTGGGGTAATTGATCCCGATTATGAAGGTGAAATAAAAATTATAGCCAGTTCTCCAAAGGGTATATCAGTAATTTCACCAGGAGATAGAATAGCACAGTTACTAATAATACCCAGCCTACATGATAAATTTTCCAGTCGTACTGTAGAAAGAGGTTCCAAGGGATTAGGCTCCACAGGTGTAGATTGGGCTATGCTTTCTTTAAATTTAGATTCTCGCCCCATGCTAAAACTAAATATTCAAGGACATGAATTTAATGGGCTACTGGATACAGGTGCAGACCTTAGCATCATCTCTCGTCAAGAATGGCCAAAACATTGGCCATTACAACAAGCCACTCAAACGCTTCGAGGCCTAGGAGTGGCGACTAATCCCCATAGAAGTGCAATGGTATTAGATTGGAAGGATCCTGAAGGATGTGAAGGAACTATACAGCCATATGTATTGGATCATCTTCCTGTAAATTTATGGGGACGAGATGTCCTAGATCAATTAGGTTTGACATTAACAAATAACATCAACCAAAATGCACCCACTATTATGACTAGACAAGGTTTTAGGAAAGGAAAAAGATTAGAAAAACAAGAACAAGGTATAGCAGCACCAATACAAATAGATCAAGGAACAGACAGACATGGGTTGGATTTTCAGAAAGGGCCACTGAGACAATAAAAATTACTTGGAAATCAGAAAGACCAGTATGGGTTCCTCAGTGGCCCCTGACTAAAGAAAAGATACAAGCAGCCCATGACCTGGTCAAACAACAATTAGCAGAAGGACATATACAACCTTCTGTATCTCCCCATAATACTCTCATTTTTGTCATCAAAAAGAAATCTGGTAAATGGAGATTATTGCAAGACTTAAGAGCCATTAATAATGAGATGGTTATTATGGGACCTGCTCAATCAGGGATTCCTCAGTTGTCTGCTTTGCCAAAAACCTGGTATGTTTTAGTTATAGATATTAAAGATTCTTTTTTTTCAATTCCAATTCATCCTGAGGATAGTCCACGTTTTGCATTTACTATCCCTGCACTGAATCATGAAGGTCCTGATCAGAGATATGAATGGAAAGTACTCCCTCAAGGGATGGCTAACAGCCCAACTATGTGTCAAATTTATGTTAACAAAGTAATCCAGCCACTTAGAAATCAAAATCCTGAACTACAAATATTTCACTATATGGATGATATATTATTAGCACACAAAGATAAAAACACATTGCTAGAATGTTATGCCACACTTACAAACTTATTAAAAATTATAATCTAGAGATAGCAATAGATAAAGTACAATTAAATTTTCCAATTAATTATTTAGGAGTTCTATTATCCTCAACCATGGTCCGTCCACCAAAAATTCAAATACGAGTAGATCAACTCAAATCACTTAATGACTTTCAAAAGTTATTAGGAGACATAAATTGGATAAGGCCTTATTTAGGTATACCAACAGGAGAGTTGGGACCTTTATTTGATATCCTAAAAGGTCCATCAGATCCAAATTCACCCCGAATGTTAACGCCTGAAGCAAGAAAGGCATTAAAAATCATTGAAACATATATGGAAAATATGCATTTGGATAGAATTGATATAAGTTTGCCTTTATTATTTATTGTACTACCAACAAAAAATATTCCTACAGGAGTATTTTGGCAAGAAGGGCCATTATTATGGATACATTTATCTTATTCTCCTAACACTATTCTTACTAGGTATCCTGAGGCTGTAGGACAATTAATACTCAAAGGAATAAAAGCAGCAAAGGGAGTGTTTGGAATTTCTCCCAATAAAATTATTACTCCATATACTATGAATCAAATTGATGAGTTAGCTAATGAGTTAAATACTTGGGCAATAATCATGTGCAAATCTAATGTTTCATTTGATAACCACTTACCATCTAATCCTTTATTGTCTTTTTGGTCATTGCATCCTGTAA